CTGAAAGTGACAGTCACAATCCAGAACTTCTCTTGTTCATCTGCCGATTCTGCCCTCAAAGAGATGGTTGTTGTCACCTTGAATATTATCGGAATCTTTAATTACTAACAATTAATAAAATTAATTTATTAACAAGTGTCCTTATAAAAAAAAATTGTCTAAATTTTAATTTTTAAATAATATTTAAAAATATTAAAAAAAACATCTTAATATCAAAATATCTAATAATAATCACATAATAAATTTGATAAAGTTAGAATTTGGATTATACTTCACATATTTAATAATTGTTAATAATTGTAATTGAATATCATGATATTTTTCATGTTAAGACGTCTTAATTTTTTTCTTTTTTCTAAAAATATTAATATGTTAATTAATTTTAATTTGTTAAAGTTAAACTCTAAATTTGATCCCACAACTATTAAATAGAACTTTGAGTTAGTTCTTGAAGTAAGAAAATCTCTAATTTAGTTCCTAAAATTTTTGAATTTAGCTCTAAGTTAGTCATTTTTGTTCAACTAATGTATTTTGTTAGGAATATGACCCATGACCATCAAGTTTCAGCTTTGTGCTATCAAGTAACAATTTATGTTATCAAACAATGAATATGTCAGTTGTTTTTTAATGAAATAACTAATTTAAAGTCAAATTTAAAAATATTAGAGATCAAATTAGAATTTTTTTTTAGTTTAGGAACCAATTTAAAGATTCATACAAAATTGAGAGACTAAATTGAGAGTTAACTATTTATTAATTAATAAATATTAATTATTATCTATAAATTATTAATTAAAATTATAACTATTAATTATTTTTGTTAATTAAAACAAAATTAATAAAAATAATATTTCTTAATTTAAGTGGCCATAACAATATTATAAATGACTATAACTATACCGGTCCTTCGTATGTCCTCATTCCTCCTATCTCATAGTTCAATTTTTCTATTTATTTCTGTTGAATATTAGCTTCCCAATTGAGATTGAGATTTTTTATTTTAAGAATTGCACTCTTTACATCAATTTTATATATTTAAAAAATTAATTTTTTTCATCAGAGACTGACTTTAAAACTTAAACATGATAGGATGGGAAATTTGTGATGTGTAGCATCCACCTGGTGTGGTTAATCGTCCATGATTACAACATCTGCTATTATAAATTTTTTCAAGATTGTAATATTAAATTTGATCTCTTGTAATTTGGATTTTGGTTTCAAGTTATTAATATTATTCTATACCAACTGCACCATAAAAGTCTCTCTCACCTTTCAAAAACTCTTTTTATTTTTTTCAACAAATTATCAAGAGATGGGCTCGAAATCCATCCATAAGAGAGGGAGAATGAGAGGGAGAATGCACCTTAAATTGTCATGGTGTCGATCGCCTGATATCCTTCTCGCGTGATAAGTGTACAGCTTCCTTATATATATATATATATATATATTGAAATAAGGGTATTTCAATTCTTTTTTTGTTTTTTTTTTTTTTAAGTAGGGGGCACAATGGTAGTAATTTAGATAATTGAGGGAAGGGAGAAGGATTATAAATTTAACAAAATCAACATAAAGTTAAATTAAAACATGCATGTCACAATGTCAGAACTCTAACCTAAAATATTTATTAATAGGTCAAGGACTTCATTAGCATGTATAATAATCAAAATTATGTGATGATTTTAGGATCAATCGATTGTTAATAAAATTAATTATTTGGCTATTCTAATATATAGAGAAAGTATTTATCAATTAATTTTTTTAAAAAATTAAGAAAAAAAATATTAAAATTTTATTTCTTTAATAAATTTTTATTAAAAATTTAAAATAACATATTTTTAAAATAAAAATTAAATTATTTTGATATTTTCATAATATTTTACTAAAATAATATAATCTTTTTTTAATTTTTTAAAAATTGAACTAACAACCACTGAGTTACTTAACATAAACCTCGTCAAAATATTAATTGCAAAACTAAGCTTTACTCTAAATCAACAATCTCCCCATCCTCCCCTTGACAAGGCTTGGCAACTTGAGATCCACTCATCTTGCAGAGGCTAAGTCCTACTTTCATTTTCGAGCAATAATTTAAGAAGCAGGGCAGGCAAATTGTTGACTTCATCTGTTCGTTGTTCCCAGTCATATTTCAGTTTTGTCCTTATTTCGTTACTTCTTGGCTCTTGTTGAATGCATTAATTATTCTCTGAGACTAAACGTTTTCGATGTCGTTCTCAAATATTACAAATATTTAAGGGTTTTTTTAACATGTACTTTGAATGTAAAAAGATTGAATTTTATTAATTATAATATTTATAATTAATTTTATATAAATTTTAAATAAAATATAATATAATACTTATATTTAAAATTAATAGAGTTAAAATTTTGATGTAAAAATTTATATAAATTTAATTAAAAGTAATTTAATTAATGAGTTTTAAATACACATGTTAGACAATCTCAATATTTATTGTTGGGTTTGTGTCATGTAAGATTTGTATTGCTGAAAATGAGGAAAAAAAGCCTGATTAGGATTAATTTGTTCTTTCTGTTTTTCTAACAAATTCTAAATTAAGCACTAAATTCTTTTCAAAAACATCTCTAATAAATATTTCCTGTCTCACGATAAAATTTTTTCAAAAACATTTCTAATAAATAATTGGCCAATTGGACAAAGTTGGATTCTAAGAGTAGCCAATTAAAGAAAAATCAGATATAATTATTTACATATTAAAAAGTATTATATAATTTAAATTATGCCAAATTGTATATAATAAAACATGAGAATCATGAGATAATGGTTAGTGTTTTGGTACTGTGGTTGCTCTCTTCATCTAATACTAATACGTTTTTTTTCTTTTTCTTTTTTAATCTAATAATATAAACTCTAAAATTAGAAACTCATAATTTATTGACATTAGTGGTACCAAGTTATATTGTAAAAAATTAGCGAAAAACATTTTAAAATTATATCATTTTAATAAAACAAAATGAGAAAAAAATTAAAATAGTCTCATTTTCATTTTAAAAATTAAAATATTTTTATCTTTTATAATAATATTTTATTAAAATAATTTAGTTTTCTGGTATTTTTTCAATTAATTTTTTATGATATAAACTGTTATCCACTTTTTAGTTAACCAAAAATACTTATTTGTGTTTTTTTTTAACTAATTTCTCAATATTTAAAAACCACATTAAACCTTAACTAATTCTGAGTCAAATTAAGTCAGATCCCATGTAGGGGGAAATTCTTCCAACATCTGTTTTTTTATTCATAATATTCAAATTTGAGATTTTATTTAAAGAGAATCGAATTCTTTTTACTCAGACTGACAGTTGTTGATCTTATTTGTGTTTTATGAGAAATTATTCAATAATTACACATGAAAAAAATTGATCATGTAGGAGTAATTAATAAGATCCAAAGTTCTCTGATGCTTAAAATTCGGACTGCCCAAGACAAAAAAAAAAAAAAAAAGAAATCCACCACCCAAATAAATCATTGTGATTTTGTTTACCACGTAGATCTCTCTCTGGTCAGACCGGTTTTGATAATTCTTCATCCTAATCCAGCTTTGAAACAATCAACCTAGGTTAAAAGGAAAATAATTTATTAAATGAGTAATATTAAAAAATAAATAAATCTTATACATGTTCTGAGGTAATATCTATTAAATTTTTAATTCAAATAAAAATATAATATAATTTTCTATCTTCACTTATTTAACATAAAAATTTAAGAGACATTTGTTTTGATTTAGATATTTTAAATTATAAAAATCAATAATTATTAATCATTAAATATCTATTATTAATTATTAACTGTTTTGAAAGAATTAAGCTAAATAGCTATTAATCTTTAAAAATCAAAAGTAAAGGTAATATATATATATATATATATA